CTGCTTCAACATGCCTCCTATATGCCATAAATCACAGCATCTAATGTATAGCATAACATTGTACATAATAGTCATCTCTCATTACCAAAGTGATCAAACCTGTAAACTGGTTTGTATTCATGTAACCTTTGTTGCATGAAATATATTATTATTATTATTACTTAGGGTTTCCACCGTGTTAGACTAAGTTTTTGGACAACCACGCGAGTTGCTGAGGTGGGTTGAGACGCCTTTCTGTGATGTGCTACGTAGCCTAGAGCTTCGGGCTCGTAGCAGCCGTCTACCAGGGTTGTACAGCTTGGTCACTTCCAAATCGTGGCTCACAGGTTTGTTGCAGACAGAATATACGTTGGAGATGGGGCTGCTTGTGGCCTCCAGTATTTTATCTGCCGAGGCTGAAAGATCATCGAGTGGAACTGACTGAAGTCCCACTAACATGGTTTGCACCGTTTGTGGTAGTTTTGAGAGAAACAGTTCTCAGAAAAAGCCAGTATCGAACGTTCGTGTGCCCATAACTTCTCGCGTACGTGCGAGGACCTCAGTGGCTGAGTTGCTGCCTAGCTCGATGTCACGAAGCAACTCGTTTTGGCGCTGGTGATCTGTGAGATCACTTTTCTTCAGTAGTGCAGCTTTGAGAAGTGCATGGAGATCACTCACTTCAGCACCAAACACATGCGCAGTAACATGCCTGTTTAATTCCCGCGGTAGTGGACTTATGACAGCAAAAAACCTAGAATGAGGGTCTGTGACTCCTTGTTCTCGAAAATCTGCCTCAGCATACAGAAACCATCTCTCCTCATTATCTGGCCAGTATGACACGAACTGGATAGCGTTCGTTGTAGGCTTAATATGGATAAGCTTTGGAGTATGGTCAGACATGGGAAGGAGTTGTATGTGGATATATAGAGGTTATCAAAATGAAAATGATATACGAGTAAGGAAGTTGAACAGGCTCACTCATTTAAGGTTTGTTCCTCATCGGGATTTGTTATCACGTCGGGTTCATCAACTTAGAATTTTCCTTGTGTGAACTTGACAGATGGAGATGCCAATCACTAATTATTCGATGTTGCTTGATACCTACGAACACAAGATCGAGGGAGGACACAATAACGTAGCCGGGTGGAATAGCATATTTGCAAGGTCGTGGCAAGATACCAATGCGTACCAATTACCTGGTTGGAGGGTTGATTACCGGCAGTTTGAAGTAACATGACAGCGTGCCGAATGGCAAGGATGTTTGACCGGTGCCTTCTGCTTTAGGAGTCCGGTAGAACTATGAAAGTCAGCATCAATGTTGAATCTCGTCAAACGCTTTGCTGCTAATTCTGGCGAAGCGTGTGTCTCTTTTTCGTCTACTAATCTGTCTATGTTTTACCTTATGTTTCTTTTCGCTTTTTTTAATCTTTCCTGCTTTCCACATCCTTTTTTCTTGCGAATAATCCTTTCTTCTTTCCGTTTTATTTTTGAGTCGACTGGTTGGTGCACGACATTTGGGGAGCCGATTTATATCTAGCTGTTCCGACGAGTCCTTGCATCCCTGTTGTTTTTATATGTTGTTGGATCACTGTCAATTTTATGAACTCACTTTGGGTTATGGGCTTACCAGAGATAGAGCAGCATAGTGGGTGGACTTGCTGAATGGGAATCACCAAACACCCAGAAGGAGTGTGCAAGGCTTTGAAGAGAATGCGAAGAAACGATTGGCTTACACCAGCTCGCAAAGGGATATTGGATATAAGTGATGACCTTAAAGGTGAACGAGTAACTGAAACCCTACTTTCAGGGCTTCCAGACTCCATCTGGTGTCAATTTAAGGTTGAATACACCAAGTACTTCGCAGGAGGCGTCTACAGAACACCTACTAGCAGCATGGGAGATAATCGACAACTGCTGCAAGTTATGTCCCGAGCGACGTCCATCGGATATGACCAGGTCATTATAGCCGGCGACTTCAATGCTCCGACTCTCAATCTTGGGAAGGACAGGGGAACCTCAAGCAGAAGGTTCGACCGAAGCCCACTCAACACTATCCAGAAGGCTGGGCTGCACGAGAGTATTGGTGATGATACTCGCTGGGGGTCGGGGGAAAGCCGTCCAAACTGGGCTACCTTTTAACCAGTGACCCACTGCTGGTAGGAAATGTATAGGTTCAAACCCCCTTCAGCAGCAGCGACCACGGTGTGGTAATGTTCAATCTGGTACTCTCCGAACAACTGTCATGGAAGGCATCGCGCCCTTGTCTTTGCTACAACAAGGCGAACTACGTGGCGATGAACCAATATCTGTCGATAGCGCCATGGCCTCAGAAGTGGAGCAGCCTGTCTATTGACCAACACTGGGAACTAGTCAGAGATATCATCAAGAGGGCTATCTCTGAAAACAGCCCGGTAATCACAGCAATACCGCGGGAACGAACCTCATGGTTGAAGCGAGGCACTGAAAACCTTTTGAAAGCCAAGAGGAAAGCATGGCACAAGTGAAGGACCTCCAGAAAAGTGTCTGACCACACCGTGTATATTGCCCTAAGAAATCGGTGTAACATTAGAGTGAGGGGAGACAGGAGATCATTCCAGACGAACGTTGCCCATATGCTCGAGGCAAATCCCAAAAACGTATGTCGGTTTATGGCGGGCAGAAAATGCACCAGCCAGGGGGCTTGCGTCCTGAAAGGCCTAAACGGAGAGAACCTCTCCGGACTAGAGGTCGCCGAAGCCTTTAGCTCCACCTTCGATAAGCAACTCAATACGTCCCTATCAAACCAAAATCACCAACTGTCCAAACGAAATTCATCACCACCAAATGTAGTAGAGTTACCTGGGGTAAAGGTAACCCCTTGCTGTGGTCCCCGAAAAACTGTCAGAGCTCCACCCAGGGAAATCACCATGGTGTGATTACATCCGAACGGCCGTGCTAAAACAATGCGCGGGTGCCTTGTGCGGTCCACTGTGTAACTTGTTTCAACACTGCTCAGACAATCACATGCTTCCACAAGAGTGGAAAAGCGCTATTCTGTCCCCCATCTTCAAAGGTGGAGACGGGCAGAACCCAAAATGCTACCGACCCATAGCCCTCCTACCTGTGGTGTCAAAAGTAATGAAGAGTCTGGTAGACGACCATCTCAGGGGGTACTTAGAAAGAGGGGAGCACTTAATGATGCACAACATGGTTTCAGAAAGGGTAGGTCCTATGCCACAAACATTCTGGAGGCAGGTGATATGTGGACGGCATGCTGGGACCTCCAAATTCCCGTCCATGTTATTTTCCCGGATTTTACCAAGGCCCTCGACACAGTTCCACACACCGTCCTTATTCACCAAACAGAAAGCTTGGGCATCAAGGGACAAGTGCTCTCATGGTTGCGGGACTATCTAGACGGTAGACAATTCTGCACAAAAGCCAACAGAGTTTGCTCCACTTGGAGGACATCATCATCTGGTGTATCACAAGGGGCGATTCTAAGTCCGCTGCTATTCCCTGTTTTTGTGAACAACCTCCCACTGAATCTCAGCCCCTCAATTCTACTTTACGCTGATGTTGTTAAGCTATGGAGAGCTGTGACGTCAGAAACAGAATTAAGTGCACTGCAAAGTGATCTCAGATTGCTTGCAGAGTGGGTGGACATTAATGGACTTGCATTTAACCTGGATAAATGCCAAGCCATGTTTCCCCGCACCCCAGACTCTCAGAAGGTACCCTGTTCTCTCTGTGGAACACAACTCTCCTACATCACCATAGAGAAAGACCTAGGACTAATACTAACTGACAAACTGGACACTAGTCCCAATCATCCAGGAGATGCCTCCAGAGCCTACGCAGTACTGCACTTCATGCGCAGACAACTGGGTGCCCTGACCCCGGAACTCTTTTTGAAGCTGCATAGGACCTATATACGACCCCACCTAGAGGTACACAGTCATTGCACCACCATATCTGAAAAGAGACGTGAACCTCCTGGAGAAAGTCCAAAGGCGAGCTACAAATGGTGTCGTGGGAATGAGGCAAAAACCATATCAGGACAGACTGAAAAATCTAGGGCTCTTCTCCCTAAGCTGCCGCAGATTACATGGTGACTTGATAACGGTAGCCAGAGTCATTCAAACAGTGGAATCCTACCGAGCGGCCACCATGGCGATCCTTGTGGTAACTCAAGGAAGACCGCTCACCAAAGAGCGAAAACCCGTGTGCGATCACACTTCTTCTCTCTGCGAGTTTTCGGCCACTGGAAAGCATTGCCTGCCGAGATTGCTACTTCTCCATCTGTTGACAGCTTCAAGAAGAGGTTGAATAGTTACGCATCGACGCACGGTTCGCGCTCATCCAACTGGGATGTGGACTGGGCTAACACGACTTACTAACTCGGTACGACCAACCGTTACTGAACACTTAGTAAAACCACTATCAATGAGAACTTGACTTAACCTTATACCTTCCTGTAGACGTCCCCTCCAGTTACTGTCCTTTACTAAAAGAATTACTGTATTCCCATTCGTCCTATAATGTTCTTCTTACTTCTGACTTTACGTTCTCGAACTTTAACAAAAGCCCTCTTTATCACCCATTCCCCGTGAACCTACCAATGTTTATTCTTCGGCGCCGTTTCCGTTTTCGTGATCTTTTTTTAAACGTATGTTATTCTTCTTCCTTTTTTCTTTTTCTTTTTTGTCTCTGCACTTTCTCGCCCTTGATTTCTCTGCACATCTTTTTCATCTCCTTTTTACAACCAGTCCGACCAGTTGTCTGCTGGCAGGACATTTGAGGAACCCATCTGCACCACAGTCCTCGGAAGAAAAAGCAAACAAACAAACAACACTCCCTACAAATGTAAACAACACCCAACCGCCCGTCTGGCTAACCAGAACTACAGCAGTCGAGTGGGGAGACCTGCTGCATTAAAATCCACCAAAGATATGTAACCGTTCCGCAAGATCTAGAAGTGAGTGCGAAGAAATCAATTGGTTTACACTAGCTCGTTAGAAGATATTGAAAGTGGGGAATTTGACTAGTGCGTTACTCTGCAGACGAAGAGTGTACGGATACTCCAGTGTATCTCTGGTGAGTGGTCCTTATTATGTAATCTTGTGCTCTTGGAGGCTTCATATTATTTTATGGATCTTAAACAAGAGTTATCTGTACATTTTATGTTGAAGTTTGAGGGAGCTATCCCCTTTACAAATTTTAGCAATACATATTTCCAAAGGATAGAATAAGGGGCTTGTGCACAGATAATATGTTGCGATTGAGGGTAGTTTGTTTTTACGGTTTCTTTGGAAATGCCTAATGCTCTGTGGAGTGGACTGATAAAGAGCTTTCATTCAAATTTGGTGTTCCTAAAACTTATATTTTACGAATTTTATACTTAACACTCCCCTCGAAACTTTGCATGTTCAACGATAAAACTTTCATGCAAATTAGGGCCCATTGGAGAATCGGAAGTAATTTCTTCACCCCATGGACATTTTATCCATAATTCTAGACTTTTGGTAACGCTTTATGGTGCTTAAGTTCTTGAAGTGCACTGGAAATTCCCAGGTTTACCTGAGATGAGTACCTGCCGAATGCGGAAATATGAAGAGCTTAGGAATAAACTGAATCTCCTAGAGTAGAAACTAAACGTCAGTGCAAGGCAGTCGAAGTACACAATTCTTTGGTGTTTCTACCTCTAGTATCTTTGAAGCCAAGGTCCTGATTATCATGCGACCACTGCATAACCTTAGGAATTCAAAAAATAGCTATTTCTTCATAGTCAAATTCAAGTAAGGGTTATCTTGCACTTCTGTAATGTAAAATAAACGGTTCAAGACACTTCAGTGGGATTTTGCCTGACGGTATTTCCTATGGTATTGTACCAAAATTGATATGGTTGTTATTGAATTTATTTGAACTGTTTACTCTTCCTTAATCTACATTTCTTTGCTGAGTCACCAAGTTGTGACATTTGTCACAGCTACATAAACACTGAATTTGGGGTTTGAAATGCATCCCGTCTAGTGAAGTTCGAACACTCAAGTTGTTATCATAATCCTCATTATTGATGTTAATCATAGCATAAAACATGGGGTTTTTTGCACATAAAGTGCGTTAATTTGCTTCTTGATAATTTAGTGGCTATTGGATGTTCTAGTAAAAGATAATTTCCTTACGGATTTATATTCTCAGTTTCTGGCCATTACTTTCTCTTCCAAACTGCCAACTCGTGTAATTCCTTTGTGTTGCAAGATTGAATATTTATTTGTTCTTCACTTTCATCGTTTTAAAACTGAATTTTACTAGATTGAACGAAAGAATGTTCAATGTTACGATAAATGCCGATTCGATCATTTGCCTTGTTTTATAATGAGCTATATGTCTCATATAGCGTGATACACTTATGTCCTAGGTTATAAGCCACTGAAAGTATGATGGTTTGTGGTATTCGCCAGCTACTCAGGTTAGAGTAGAAGTTAAATTTGCACCCAGAAACCACTAATAAATCAAGTTCTCTAATCACTGAGCCATAGGTAAGCTGAGGGTGAATAGGGTAAATATTACCTCGTGCCCTTTTTAGTTTCCATAATGTTCTGACTGACACATAGAGACTTCATGGATAGGTTGAACTGGTCACCCTTAGCTTTTTCCAGCGAAAGTGAATGAAATTTTGGCAATGATGCCAAGATTCTGTCGATCAAGGGGTAAATGAGACCGCGAAGTAGTAATCCTAGGTCGTAGGTTGGTAATCTCTTGTTTTGGCCTGGAAACTCCCATGGCTGGTATGATTTCCTAAGTAGTTGAAGTAGTTACCGCCTTCAGTTACTTCACTTACTCAGTTGGAAAGTGTTTTAAAGGTGAATGCTTAGGTTTGTCTCATGCTGAAAATTGGTTGATTGAATGATTAATATATTCCCATCTTAACTACAGATACTTTTTACAGTCTAATACACGAAATTATATAGTTTATTGAGTTCTAGCGCTATTTTCTAATCTAATAGTGGTTCAAACGAGGTTATTTCGTCTGGTATTTGTAACTTTTATAAAAGCGAACACCAACATTCTTCAAATCAAATAATGTCTAGTGGAGATAAACAAACATCTGTCTACAGAGTAGTCAGTTAGAGTATTGTGAAAGGAGTACTGAGCGAGTATATAACGCTAGTCAAAGTTCTCGGATACAAAAGGCTCGATTGGCTTTCGCCAATTTACGCCACTTATGGAGCAGCCGTGATATCCGATTGTCCACTAAGTGTAGCATGTACTGCACAGCAGTACGGTCTGCTCTACTGTATGACTGTGAAACATGGCCATTGAAAGTGGAAGATATAAGAAGGCTTCAAGTGTTTGACCACCGTTGTCTTCGTAGTATAGGCCGTATTCCGTGGTGTCGCCACGTGAGTAACGCAGAAGTCAGGCTCAGGTGTAGAGTTTTAGGGAGAAGAGGTGAGTCAGTTGACACAGTTGTGAACCTTCATCGACTGAGATGGTTGGGACACGTACTACGTATGCCTAGTCACCGATCGCCTCATCACCCAATGTTGGCCGAAGTAGGTCCAGGCCGGAAAAAGGCTCAAGGTGGCCAGACTAAAACATGACACCAATGCATGAAGTCTCTGACTGTTGGTTTGAGCCATGTGGGGCGATGCACACTGGGTGGTTGGGGTCCGTGGGATAAGAGGAACCAGTGGTTAGAGACTCTAGGTGATATGGCTGAGAACCGATGTCAGTGGCGCAGATGTATACACACATTATCCTCATCTTAACGACACTATACCGAATCTCACCATTTTGTCACTCCTCTTTTCTTTCTTCTCGTACTTTATATTTCTTTTGACTTCATTCTCTTATCTTTATCCTTCACATCACTACCTTTCTACTTGATGTACTGATATGAGGTGCGGCAACTCGGACCGTTACGCAGTAATGCGTGGTCTTATGTTGGTATTGATGGTGATGATGATGAGTTAAAGCTCTCATACTCATGCAGTTGTGTTAAGGCTTCTGGAGAATTTTCTCATGAGTTGACGACAATTATTAGTGTCTGCCAGGAATGTCTGCTGTGAGCGTTGGTGTTTAAATTCATCATAGATGCATTAGTGGATATAATCTTAGGTTTGTCCGACTTCACAGGGATTGATCCACGCTCTGGAAACCATCTGGTTGACTTGTAGTTTGCAGTAGACATCGTTCTGCTAGGAGAAGAGGCTGGGAGTATGCAAGGTCTTTTGAATGCTTTGAGAGAAAATTTGAGTGTTTTTAGTGTGTTCTGCTAGCACATTTGAAATGTAAGTTTATGCTTCAGGACTGGTTTGCAACCACTCCCAGTGAAGTGGTGGAGTGGGTCGACCACTTCACTTACGTGCAGAATTACGTCAGCGTGAACGGGTTGGTTGCTGACAAAATCTCATCTCGAATACTGAAGGCTTGCATGGAATTCTCCAACTTGTGTCATCTCTGGGGCCGAATAGCGAGGTATCTGACTCCTTGTTAAAGGGAAAGTGCACTGCGCTACAGTCCGATCTGTCCTCTTATGGGGTGACGAGACATGGCCGTTAAAAGTAGAAGCCAGGAAACGGTTACAAGTTTTTAATCATAGATATCTTTATAGCGCTAATCACGTTTGATGAAATCACTATAGGAGCAGTGGTGAGGTAGGCAAAGAGTACTAGGCAAGGAAGGGAATTCGATCAATGAGGTTGTGAACCTTCATCGACTGAGGTGGCTTGGACATGTACTAAGCATTATCGAGTCACCGTTTAACTCACCATGCTATGCTAGCTGAAGTTGGATTAGGTTAGAAGAGGGTTCAGGGTGATGAAACCAAGATATGGCATCAATCGATGGTGTCCCTGACTGTTGATCTGAGCCTTGGAGGGTGGTGTAGGTTACTTGACTGGGGTTTGTCAGATGAAAGTAATCAGTGGTTGAGGACTTGCTGAAATGGCCAAAAATCGGTCAAAATGGTGCCGATGTATTCACTCCTTGACATCTAAAGCTTGAATATTTCCACTATTCGTTATCTTCAAAATGTTTATTCTCTCACACAACTTTGTATACTTTAATATCAGTCTTTTTCCATCCACTTGTTCTTTGTATGTTATTGTGAAGTGTGGCAGCTTGAACCGATGCACTTGTGAGCAAGGTTCTACCTTGATTTTGTTTATTTTCTGTCTTTAAGTCGCATTTTTAACCAACAATACTTTCTGCATGTATAACATAATTTTCATTTCTTAGACGTAGGCAAGTATTTCTACAAGTCCTGAACAAGTTTTATGCAAGTTTGGTCAACAAAAGATTATGGAAGGAAGAATGGTCCAAAAGTTCACAGTCAAATGCATACATATTAGCAACGTTTCATGAATAAACCTTGGAGATACCACCTGATTTATAAAAAGCAAAGCAGGGCGCAAAATATTGTGCACCATGCTCAATGAACCTGCTTCCCCGTATGCATTTTGCAAAGACTTGCAGAACTTGGTCATAGTGACACAAGAACATATCATATCACCGTTGCGTAAGGAGTTGAAGCGAAATGATGAGCATTCAGAAATTCTATCATTGGAGATTCAGGATGCTGAAGTAGTTTACTCTCTTTAATTTGATGTATTGTTGTAGAATAAAACTTTCGAATATTTAGCTCAACAGATTTCGGCTATTTGTAATGCTGACGAAGATACCGCCAATGCTATTCTTCGTGAATACCCGAAATCGGAAGTGTGTTTCCGGTGTCTTGGAATTAATGAAGATACAATACAAGTACTGCATATTTTTTTCATTTTAATGTACATTTAGGGTCTTCTGCGTATTCGAGGTATTGGGTTCTTACAGTTGTTGGATATGCCGGATAGTGAAGTAAGAACGATTCTACAAAATTATGGTGACTACGGGGAAGAAGTTGATCACGTGCTTGCGGGTCTTGCGAAAATACGCGGAAATATTGATCTTATTGAAAGTGATCTGGCTTTTGAGGATGATACTAGAAATCTTATCAAATTGATTATGCGCTTATCTGAGGAAGATTCTCATGTTGGGGAGTTAGGCAATGTCATGTGTTCTCAAGCGAACGAAGAACCTAAAGATTCTCGCATACCCCCTTTATATGTTACTGGGCCAGAAGACTCTCCGTTTGTGAATAAGGAAACACTTGTACAGAATCAGTCTTTCAAAAATACCAGGGTAGTTGTCTCTTCTCACTCAGATCACAACACATCTTGCGGGAGTCTTATTGGACACTCGAACTCAGACCATGCTAATACATTCAGAGCTGTATATGATCCCAATTGCAACGGTGTTAGTTCATTTAATTCTCCTCATGCTTCCAGTTGTATCACTATCAACCACTCACAAAATCCTGTGATCAAAGCCAATACTGGCAAGGCATCTAGAAATGATTTCAAGACATTTAATCTCTTTCCAGGTATATCTGATTCGAATATTCCTTCTGAAGTAGATATACACAACGGCGGTCTTTCAGTACCTTCTACTCCCATCTCATCTAAAATTTCTTGTTCAACAATCTTATCACCTTCTAGCTTTTTTAAAGCAGGTCGTTATACTTTGCCAAACGAAGCAATTCCCCTATCCCTAAGTGGTCGTCGAGTAGGGATCCCTTCTCGAGATCGCGAACATCATTCTCGGCAGTCAGGGACTCCACCACCGAAGTATCGTTTTAAATTCTCCTCCCCACTTCATCGTAGCAAATCACATGAGTCCAACCTGGCCAACCGTATTATCCTATCTGCTCTTTCCACTGCAACATTACCCCATCCGGAAATAAGTGCTACGTGTATTAGTAGACCGCAGTTACTATTGTGCAGTGCGATTTCCCCTGATGCTTCCAGCGGTTTAAACAGCGACTACTTTAATTATTCTGACTGTATAAATGGCAATAGACCATCTCTATCTAGTGCTCAGTACATTACATGTAGTAGTAGCGATAATGCATCAGGCAGCAACAAGACAATTTCAACATTCTACTATACTAGTTCTGTTACTGACAGTACTACGACATTAGTCACTAATTCACGAAGTTATGATCAAGGTCGGCGTGTATCTTGTGAATATCGTCCGTTGAAGACTAATGTTCAGCCTTTAATGACTACATCTGCAGACAGTGATAATTCACTAGGTGAGTTTTTTTATTTCATAAATCCTATTATATTTTTATTAAAAAAAATACCTATGGGTTTGTCTCTGTGTCTAGGATCGCTGTTTATTCTGTCAAGGAAAGCGATATAACTCACTACTGTAAGCATTAAATTTTATCACTATGGTAGAGCATAATTCCAGCCCAGACTAACGTATTCTACACAGCACTGGGTAATAGTACACTTCTATGAGAGAAAGATTTGTGATGCGGCCGCTAATCTGAAACAGTGATTTTTGTTTGAACTAGGGAACGATGGATAAAACCAAGTAATGGATGCTATTGCGTGGTCGGGATTAATAGAATCGCAATCCTCCTCCACTGTGCTTCACATTAAGGTAGTAAATATGCAGAAAGATAAACCAGTGTAGAACTTTGCACAGAAGTGTATCAGTTCTTGTCACACTTCACTTCGCACAGATTACTGCCTACCCTTCAAAAAATGAACTGGACTCCACTTATAAAGTTAACAGTTTTCTTTAAACGGTTAAGTGTGATATATTTGAATATGTTTCTGAATAATTATTTCACTTATTCAATGTGTTGTAGCAATGAACATCGAACTCAAAGTTGTTAGTAACATCTTAAATGTTTTAACTAGATTTCTGTGAGGATTCCCAGCCTACCTCAAGTTGACCTGTCTTGTATATACATTACATTTGTGTGTGTGACTGCCATGAACTTCGCTCGTCTTCCACCTCCTCTTTAGCTCGCATTTGAAAAACTTACGCAAGTCAATAATGTGAAACGGTATTAGATTACGTGGTGACACTTTGAAAAGCAGTAACTAAAAGAACATATAACGTCATACTGTCGTCGCTTAACTTTGTGGAATCTTCGGTATTTAGTCATGAACCCATTTGAACTCACTGTTTACCAACTGAAACCGGATCAGAAAGATAAAGAAAATCAAGGTAAAACCTTGCTCACAAGTGCATCGGTTCAAGCTGCCACACTTCACAATAACATACAAAGAACAAGTGGATGGAAAAAGACTGATATTAAAGTATACAAAGTTGTGTGAGAGAATAAATATTATGAAGATAACGAATAGTGGAAATATTCAAGCTTCAGGTGTCAAGGAGTAAATACAACTTCACTATTTTGATGGATTTCCACCCATGTCATTCAGAGCACTCTAGCACTTTATCCCAATCTCAAGAAAGTCGACACGCAGCCTACTGGACACTAGGTCAAGAAGAGGAGCAGATGTAGGCTCAGACCACTATCTAATGCAATCAACTGATCAAACAATATCAACATAGGACCACGCATTACTGCGTAACGGTCCGAGTTGCCACACCTCATATCAGTACATCAAGTAGAAAGGTAGTGATGTGAAGGATAAAGATAAGAGAATGAAGTCAAAAGAAATATAAAGTACGAGAAGAAAGAAAAGAGGAGTGACAAAATGGTGAGATTCGGTATAGTGTCGTTAAGATGAGGATAATGTGTGTATACATCTGCGCCACTGACATCGGTTCTCAGCCATATCACCTAGAGTCTCTAACCACTGGTTCCTCTTATCCCACGGACCCCAACCACCCAGTGTGCATCGCCCCACATGGCTCAAACCAACAGTCAGAGACTTCATGCATTGGTGTCATGTTTTAGTCTGGCCACCTTGAGCCTTTTTCCGGCCTGGATCTACTTCGGCCAACATTGGGTGATGAGGCGATCGGTGACTAGGCATACGTAGTACGTGTCCCAACCATCTCAGTCGATGAAGGTTCACAACTGTGTCAACTGACTCACCTCTTCTCCCTAAAACTCTACACCTGAGCCTGACTTCTGCGTTACTCACGTGGCGACACCACGGAATACGGCCTATACTACGAAGACAACGGTGGTCAAACACTTGAAGCCTTCTTATATCTTCCACTTTCAATGGCCATGTTTCACAGTCATACAGTAGAGCAGACCGTACTGCTGTGCAGTACATGCTACACTTAGTGGACAATCGGATATCACGGCTGCTCCATAAGTGGCGTAAATTGGCGAAAGCCAATTGAGCCCTTTGTATCCGTGCAGAGATCTCATCTGCCACTGAGCTAGCCACCAGGTCAGGGCTGATCCTACTTCCCAGGTAAGTGAAGTGGTCAACACACTCAACCACTACACTCTGTATTGTTAGCCGTGGCACCGTTGAAGACCAATCCTGGAGCAAAGATTTGCATTTGGGTGGTGAGAACCGCATCCCAGACATTCTCAAATTGACACTCAATGTGTTCAGAAGACTCTTCACCTTGTCAGCGTCTATACTTAACAGGACTATGTCATCTGCATATTCTAGGTCTAACGATAATTCTCCTGTGGTTAGGTCAACGTCTCTGTAATGAGGGAACGAGAGGGAGACCTTCATGAGAATATCTATGATAAAATTGAATAAGAATGGAGAGAGTGAGCATCCTTCACGGACACTACTTGATGAGCATAACTCCCTGGACATCTCACCGTAGGCAATGACACGCCCACAAGTGTTCGAGTAGAGAGCCTTGCCTTCAATAAGGTGATGTACTTACTAGGCATGCCTTTTAGTGAGAGACATTGCCATAAGACTTCTCGATCAACGTAGTCAAATGCCGTCTTCAGGTCTAGAAATACAGCTATTGTCGGGCGTCTGTACGCGTGCCTATATCCCAGGACCTGGGACAGTGTGAATATTTGGTCGATACACCCGCAGTCAGGTCTAAAGCCTGCCTGGTTTTCTCGGGCTTGCTGTTCCCGAGCTCCACTCAGGCGTCGAAGAATTATAGTACCTAGGATTTTGGATACTATGTTCGTCAGGCTGATTCCTCTGTGGTTATCACAAAGGACTTCTCTCCTTTCTTGAAGACTGGGATAATGAGTGACTTGGACCAGTCGGAGGAGATCGTATTTGATTCCCATATACTGGTTAACACTTCGTTAACCTGACTAAGAGCACCTTACCGCCATCCTTGTATACGTAAGGAGTAAGTCCGTCTGGTCCTGCTGCCCTTCATCGTTTCAGGTTACCTACCGCTTTCTCAACTTCTTCAAGTGTTGGGTGGCCTATCTCAATGTTCCATTCAGGATCTGACTGGATAGCTGGCAACGCAATGGTGGCTGGAGGCCAGTTAAACTGTTCCTGGAAGTGTTTTGCCTATCGTTCCAGTCGTCTCTTCTGCGAGTAAGTCGCAAACCCTTCCTTCTCCCCCATAGCCTCACTAATCATTGTTTACCTTTTCCCCTTAGTTTCCTTAAGAAGTCTAAATAATTGTCTGCTGTTATTGATCGCCGCCGCCTTTTCGATATCTCTTTAGCCTTCGCTGCCCATCACTGTTCGTGGTTGTTGTGTAGACTTTTTCTCACTCTACTTTTAAGTTGTGCTGTCTCTTCATTGTATTCAGAGCTTGCTGGCAGGGATGCGTTCACGTGCGACCATTAGTTTGGAACAAGCTGCTGATATCCATTGGCTCTTTTTAGCCACTCTTTTGGAGTTGGCTACGGTCTTCGGTTCTGCTTTTAGAGCAAACTGGAGATGGCACGAAGCTACTTCGGGATGAGTGTTAGTCTTCTGTTCCTATAACTGCCTAACCAACTTCTCACTGAACACGGCTTTGGTGTTTTCGTTGTCCAGCAGCACTCGTAGTGGTTTTGTTGCCAATTTTTTTCCACGTCAATGGAGACGCAGGCATATACGTGCTCGGACCAACGCATGATCGCTGTCCAAACACGTACTCCAGAAGGAGCGGCAGTCTTCCACCGATCCTCTCCAGCGATGACTAATAGCAATGTGGTCTATCTGTGTCCATCGCTGAGTTGAGCTCGGTGGACGCCAGGTCAGACAGTGTCTTTCTTTATGTCTGAAATTTGTGCTGGCTAAAAATAGGCGGTTATCTGAGTACAGTTGTAATAGGCGATCACCGTTATCTGTACGTTCAGCTGGGATTCCGAAAGTGCCACCTAAGTGCCTTTCTGCCTCACTCAGTCTACCCACCTGTGCGTTGAGGTCACCTGCAACAATCAGTGTCTGAACGTTTGGCTTTCGAGAGGAGGTTAGACAGTTTACGGTAGAACTCGTCCTTCACTTCATCCGACTGCAGTCAGTGGGTGCGTAAGCAGAGATTACAAAGAGACAACGGCGAGTCTCACTATTCCTTTTAGTTCTCACTGTGTCATTCAGTCTCATAGCGCAGAGGCGACTATCAACTGGGATCCAGTCTAGTAGTGAGTTTTCTGCCCTAGTGCTTAATGCTATACCTACACCTGCAAGACCACGAGAGCTAGCTATCGAATCTCCAGAAACTCGAAGGGTGAATTTCGTGGATTCACCAGATTGACCGGGAGAGGTCAGGTGAATAACCTCACTTGGGTCCTGTATGCGTGTCTCACAAACACAGCACACATCCATGGTCCGAGTTGCTAGAGTCTTTGCCAACGAAGCCTGTTGGCCAATTTGACGGAGGGTGCGGACATTGAAGGCTCCAATATGTAATTTGGAGCGTGGTTTAAGGAGACCAGGGATGCTGTTCTGTGGACTCAGATCGTTGTCGAAGGCTGCAGAGGTAGGAGAAGTTGAAGATGATGTGGTATCGTTAATTGAGAGACGTGAAGGAAGGAAGATTAGAAGGTAATGATGGAGGAGGTGGATAGTAGTCTGAGGAAACTTGGGTGGTGGTCGAGTTGTGAGGGTGGTTGACACTCCCGGCTGCCCACACCGTGGAAGGCGATTTCTTCTTAAGGTACCTGAAAGAGATTTGTGTGACCACAGAGCCCATCGGACATCTGCTTGAGGCCTGTCACACGAAGCCTTTTGAGTATGATTATTTTGAACGTTTGTTGTTTTGGGGCTGGATGGTCGAAAGGAAACGACAAGTGAACCAACACCGCCGGCCCAGTAGACCGTGGGGTGTGATGGAGTGTGTTATTTTGGGGGTCGACCTTTTCTAACTCCCCGCCTTCCACTGAGAAGGCAGCATCAGCATGGGACTGCTGGTCATCCAAGGGAAACAGCTTACTGGTATCACACCGCATCCAGCTAGCAGCAGTACGACTTCACCCTCAGACCCCCATCATAGTGTAGCAATTTACACCACAACGGTAACTTCTTTTCGTCTAACCACTATCCAACGAACCTTTGTGGTATGGTGGGACCTCGAGGGAACAAGTGTTCCACCAGCATAGGTGGTTGGGTCATTGTGATATGCAAGCCCGACTACCACGTCAAGGTAGCAGCTATCGGTAAATGGGATCCTAGAGAGGCTATAGGATGCGCTAGGTTCAAAACTACGACTGGAACAGGCTGGCTGGATTCAGGAAGTACAAATCATGTGCAGACCAAATTGCAACGCCACACCACGCATCATCATAGAACAGAGTATAGAATGGCAGTCAACTCTCTACCTCAATTTTATCGACTTTGAGAAAGCCTTTGACAGCGTCGACCGACAAGTAATTTGGAAACTGCTTCAATACTACGGAATACCACAAACCTTTATCAGCCTCATTCAACAACTATATGAAGACGTCATATGCCAAGTAATTCACAATGGGAAGCTCAGTGATGCTTTTGAAGTGAAGACAGGAGTGAAACAAGGCTGCCTACTATTCCCCATGACATTCCTGATTGTGGTGGACTGGATCATGCAACAAACAGTGAGGAGCGATAAGAGGGGGATACGCTGGACGGCGGAAAGGAACCTAGAAGACTTGGATTTCGCTGATGACTTGTGTCTGATATCACACAAACTTGAAGATCTACAGACGAGAACTAACAAGTTGGCAGAAGAGGCAGGGTAGCGAAGGAAGACGGGACTTCAAGTGAATATAGAGAAGACAGAGGTAGAGGTGATGACACCCAACCAACCCCACCACCACCACCACCAACAAGCTCCAATCACCATCAACGGGAGAAACTTAAAGGAAGGAGACTCCTTCACCTATCTAGGCAGCACTATTTCAACTGCAGGCAGCGGCACAGACGAGGATGTCAAAGTCAGAATCGGAAAAGCAAGACAGGCGCTGATTAGCCTGAAACCAGTGTGGAGATTTTCTGCACTCCTCTCAGCATGTGGAACAACATTCGGATTTTCAACACCAACGTCAAATCAGAGACTTAGTGCGTTGCAAAAAGCATTTCCAACAAACTACAGACATTCATCAACAACTGCCTACACTGGCTCGTTAGTGAAGATCGAATGGCCAGAATGAAAAGAATAAGCAACAAGGAGCTCTGGGAACGAACCAACCAAGAAGCTATCGCTGAACAAATATACAGAAGGAAGTGGAGATGGATGGATTTGGCATACACTGAGAATTTCGACTGGAGACATCACACGTCAGGCCAGTTGCTCGAGTGGAACCCAGATGGGAAGCGACGAGTTGGGCGTCCGTGGTGAGTGTGACATGGAGGAGATCGTGCGAGGAGGAAATGAGAGCTTGTGGGCTGTCGTGGAGCCAGGTTGAAAAGATTTCAGAGAACAGAGTTCACTGGAGATGTGCTATTGAAGCCCTATGTTCCATTAGGAACCCACGGGACAAATAATAATGATATCAGTGATTCCTTTCGTCTCAGGGACAGCAGTCAGGTAGTCTATATCTCCGCACATGTTTACCCAAATCCAGCTATTCAGTTTTATCTTTTTTGATGATTAGGTACGCACATATGCGTAAACTCCTTTGCCGAAAGCTTGTTTGTAGCACTGGTTTCGGTGTCTTGGATACATTATTCGTCGATGGTTCCAATAACTTTCATATCGAGCTGTGTTTACTAATACTGGGACATGGGACATTAAATACTTTACGGTGTGAGGTATGAAATTAGATGCATTTTAGATTGTCATCTACAGATGAATTATAAATGTTTAGAGTGGATGATATATAGCTTATTACTCGAAACTGGTGACATTCTAGCTATAGTCCTCCTTTTTTTTATGTAAACAGCGAGACGACGATCTTTTCAGAAGGATATTTCACGACTCGTTCCGTTGGACCAATGTTATTGCTTTTCATCTGTATTTTAAAAGCTAAGTTGTCATATCATCTTTAGGCAATGCGTTTGCCATTATCCATAATATTCCAAATTTCTGTTTTAAATGTAATGACAAAACCACATGCTAAATATATACTTGTATTTTACCTAGGTGTACTTAATGTTCCGAGTAACTCAGGTGGGACAACATTTGTTCTCAGTGTTAGTGGATTTATGCATAAGTGAGTTATCCTATTATTTATGATCATTTTTCCTATATTTCCCAAAGGTTGTGCTTTAAACATCAAACTCTAGTCGGTTGACGACTTAGTTCACTGGAGCAGACCCTTCTAGTGTTAGTTTATTCAATTACGGTCAGACTGCTTAGCTGAGCAAAACTGGAGTTGACCCATTTGTGTAGCACGCAGAACAGAATTCGCTACTCATCGAGCAGTTTGAAGCAGTTTAGAAACATTCTAAAACCTTGGAAATGGTTGTTTTTTAAGCTTTGAGGAATACCATACTCTAGTTCATGTCGTTCTACATTACGGTTAAAAGCGTCGCTACTGAGTGGTATAGTGTTCTATTCAAGACTTGCAGCTAGTGTTATGAGTGATCCACTGATATCAAAACACGGTAGTGTTCAGATAGGAGAACACGTTCATCTACTAACTGCAGCTTATTACCTCTTCCCTCTTTCTCTGATATACAGAAAAACAAGTTCAACACAAAAAGTCGCACACAAGTACATTGGTTTAAGTTGCCAAACTTCACAACATCCAATGAACAAGTAGATAGGATAAAACTAGCATCACAATTGACAAAGTTATATGAAAAGGAATTTGAAAGTCGAAGTTAGTGAAAATATTTCAATCTTTGAAAGACATCAAAAAGTGAATACATCTGCGCATTGTAAAGAAGACTCCTCAATCACTGGTTTCTGTCGTCTCAGGGACCTCAGGTGGGTAGTCTACATCTCCCCACACGACCCACAGCAACAGTTGGGGACTGCATTGTCTAGTGCTACGTGTTGGTTTGGTTGCCCTAGACCCTAGTGGAACCTAATCCAACTTCCCCCAGCATTACTTGTCAAGGCAGGTGGTGGCTCGGTATGAGCAACACACGTCGAAACCACGTTAGTCTCTGAAGAATCACAATCTCATTGACCGACTTGCTTACCTTACCTAGTAACCTTAGCCTAACATCTACATTGCTCACATGGTGGTTCCCCCATGCGCTAGTAATGGTACAAAGACACCTATGGTTGGAAACTTGTAGTCTCCTCATATCTCCCACTTTCAACGGCCGTGTCACAGTTGTATAATAAGGCAGAACGGACTGCACGGAAGTATACTCATCCTTCAATAGGGAGTGTAATATTTCGCCAGTTGGCGTCAAAGATGACGTTAAATGGCAAATGGCAAACGGGCCTTCTGAATCCGAGCTGAGATTTTGTCAGGAACCAACTCTTTCAAACTAATGCAACTCCCCAGTCTCGCTCCTCTAGGGTCACATTTTCATTGCATTTCCTATCAAATGTACTAAACTAACATCAAACCATAAGAAAGTGGTGTTTTGTGGGGAGCAACTTGGTCAGTTATTGAAAGCTAGTATCGTACTATACTGTACTAAGTGACGTTTACTTTTTGGAATAATATGGAACTCATCAACCGAGTTCAAGATTGTGTATTAGACTACGCATCACGTCTGATATGTGTGAGTCTTTAAAAATGAAATTGATATTTAACTCAGTAATCACCTCCACGTTCATGCATTAGGTAATAAGCCACAACTTTCATGCATGTACCAATTGGCTACCCAGACTACACTAGGTGAACTGAACTTACTGCTCACAACCCACTGGTTGAAAGTTATGTATCTAGACCAATGAACTATAGCTCCCGTAAGCATTTGATACCGTCTGTTTTTTCACACCAAATTTTTTTTAAACTCATTACCCCAGTAGTTAGTAGTCGAACACTTAAACTAGAGAGGTACACGCCTACGGATGTTATATCCACTGGTTTCATAAATGTTTTACCATATTGTTAGTATGTGTGTAGTGTTTTATATCTAAAGACAATTTAAAGGGAACTCTTGGATTTACTTCTGAAAATCGTTGTGATTTTGTACAACGAATGGATTATTTACTTTCGGAAATTTGTATAAATTGGATAAACCTGGGTGAATAGTAGCTCTGGAATTGTGGATAATTGGTATATGTAATCAAGTCGTAATAACTTGTTATGAATATCTTGGTAGTACTACTATCCTTTATGGCGTAAGTGTGGATAACTCACTGTCTAAGGTGTTATTGTTAAGTTAAATTCGATTCCATTTGTTCACTTTATAGAAAGTAGAAAAGTTGAAAAATTTCCTGCTTTACTTTTTCGAATTTAATAACATAACTATATGCATTATCAAATCAAAGGATCTAGAGTGAGTTTGCGGAAACAACCGCAATGCAAACTACTGCTTAATTGAAGATATATAGCTTCTTATTGGCTTAAACGCTCGATTTTCATTTAGCTTCTCCTGGATTCGAACCTTACTCCACCTACTTTGACTTAGGCAGCCGGGTAATATAATAAGGTCTCACGCATTCAGGGCAGGTCATAGCAGACAAATAAACAGAAAATATCAACGTAGAACTTCTCACACAAATGCATCTGTTCAACTCGGCACACTTCACAGTAGTATACAAAGAACATACAAATAGAAAAAGACTGATATCATAGTAGATAAAGTTGTGTGAGAAAATAAACAACCCGAAGGTGAGGATTAGTGCAGATATCTAGACTTTGGAAGATATCTGCACCATTGTGACCAAGATTTCTCGACCACTGATTACTTTTGTTTCGATGACACCAACCAGTTATTCTACACCTCCCTACACAGCTCAAGCCAACCGTCAGAATTAATCGACTTGTGTGACGTCTTAGTCTCTTTACTCTGAATCCCCTTCCAACCTAATCCAACTTCTATCATGACACACCGAGGTAAGTGGCTGCTCGGCATGCGCAGTACATTTCAAAGCTATCAAAGTTGACTAAGGTTCACAACCTCATCAATCGACTTGCTTGTCTTACCACAGCGTAGTACATAAACACGTGTAGTGGGCTAAATTGTATTTTTTAAAGTTGGTTTGCACTCCTTAGTTCAAGATACTGTTAGCACTATAAAATTTCCAGGTGTTTTGAAAAAAGGTCCAACTTATTCCTTTACTTTCGCATTATTTAGGTTTGAATTAGAATCAAAATTTGGTGATTTTGTCAAAGGTACTCCATGTGCTGTTTGCAATAATCGAATGCGATTTCGTCTTCAACATTGTGTTTATTGCAAGTAAGTTCTTCTGGATTACATATCTGTGGTTAATTGTTTATTTGGTTGTAGTACACGAGGTTTCATTTCTGGGTGAAATTTTCCAGCTGTTTTAGTTACTCATCTGCCCATCCACATATCAATGCTTTAGGTTCAGAAAGTTTTTATTGTCTGGGTATCTGGATATAAATAAAGCTTAACATTCATGCGTACAAGATGTACAGTGAAGAGTAAGCTTTCAGTTGTTGACAAAATATGAAATTTGATATTTGCTTATCCAGAAGATAGAGTGTAGATGTTTAGATTTTATTTTGAACAATCTTTAGGGGTTAAGTGGATGAACTTACAGTACACTACAATATCAGTTGATCATTTGAATCAGTATGGTGTGCAGCTTTATTTGTTGACTTAGTACATCGGATGGTATAAACAAGATTTTTTACCCCTGAGATGAAGTACGCTATTTTATGGCTGAATTTTAGGTGGTATATTGGTGTTCACATGCTTTATCTCATCAGATAATTGACACATCGAATCCATGCCAATGGGTCTATGGCTAACAATTAGCCTAGAAATTCGATTTCCAAAAACAATGGGTGCCGGGTTTGAACCCGGCCCCACTTACTTTGGCCGGGGTAACCGGACAGTATACAAAAACCTTCAAGGAACAAGTGTGACTGGTAGCCTATTATATTGACAGAGTCTTGTGCTTTATAAGGTTCGGGATTGGTGGTGCGAAACAACCTAGATTGGATCTTTCTACCTCAATTAAAAGTGTTGTACGTCTTGCGTAAGCCTTTCGATATTCCATATATTCATTAACGCAATGTTTTTGAGAATACATCGACTGTCCTAAGGCCTGTTGAGCATGCTTACGCTTTGATCTCTTGATTTTCCTTCATTTTTTCCGCACCATTTAGAATCAAAGTGCATAAAGGTTGTGTTTCTCATTCAAGACGACTTCCGTGTCCGGGATCTGGTGGACAAAATAGTGATTTACATGAATTGAAAGGTAACTTACCATGTATCTTGATTGACTGACCTGAGATAAACTTTGAACAGTCTAGTTTGTTGGCACATTACAAATCAACAGCATGTTATGACCAACTTGTGACTGACTACTCCATTTTACTTTAATGTCAAGATTGCTTATAACTATGTCGATTAAATGTGGATAACTAGAAAGAAATTTAATTGATTAGACAACCACGGTATCTTATTCAGTAGTATGAGGCCAATCATACTATTAGGCTATCTAAATCTCGCTAAATGGATTGACCTATAGTGGATTGAAAGTCAAGTACCTGGACCAAAGGGCCACGCCTCTACAATTAGATATGGAGATCGGAATAGCAGAAATATGTATTGGATAATTGTCTTGGTTATGATCATGTAGGCAGAATTTGGTTCGTGACGATCTCTATGGTTTGAGATAATAATGATTACATTGTTCTTTCTTGTTACAACTATTTTTAATGGAGACTGTTTAGTTGATTGCTTTGTATTCTTCCTGTAGATTGTTGTTAAAGTCATTTCAAATCTATCTGATAGTGAAAGGTACGTATCGTCAAAAAAAGTAAATACAACTATGCGTAACCGCCTATAGGTTTATAAAGCCGAAGTTTGTCGGTTTAGGCACCAGGATTCCAACCATTGTGACTATTTTGAACTCCACTTTACCCATTGAGATTGAAGCAAGCAGTTAGTATCGTTTACCTTCACAAAACAGTCATTGCACGGTATATTTTTGGGAAAGAAGCTGTGAAACGTAGTACCTGTATCGAGGAACTTTAAGGGTCAATCTCGTAAAGTATGAGATAACCAATCAGGTTTTACTATTTTGTGAAAACTACCTATGTAGGCGAAATCAGTAAACCTAATTTGTTATCCTAGCGGTTTCTAAGGTGGGCTTTAAAGTCACTCGCCATCTCAAGGCTATCTCATTAGCTGACAGTTCATATATATGGTTTGAAGCCATAACCTTATAAACGAAAGCATCAATTTCTGAGTCAATTTCTGGTAGCATCTTCCCCTTCCCCTCAAAAAATATACACTCCGACTAACACAAAATTAATGACCAGCTGACTGAGTTGTCCTTACTATAATGAAATAAACTATCACTTATGCAAAACAGATGTAACCAAGGTACCGAATAACCTTTCAAAACGGAACCAAAGATTACTATACAGCCCGTGGATTCTAATCAATAAGCATTTGACTATATTTTTGTCTGGTGAAACCATAACACATTGCACCAAAAGTAAGAACTCATCGACTCTTGATGTAGGGAACCTACATTCCAAAAAGTAGAGCAGATGCCGTGATATTGCATTGGAGCCCATATGCTAACAGAAGTCAGTTAATTCGATGGGGAATTACAAGTATCAATACCGTCACACAAGAGGTGAAAACTCTTGTCCCAATGGCCTAGTGAATAATGCTTCAGCGTGTGAAGCGGCGGCTTTTGGGTTTGAGTCCCAGTAGGAAAAACACCACTCACTGGGGGTAATTTGCATCCGACTGACGAGTGAGTCACAAATAGGATGGAACTTGAGTTCTGGATTCCGCTGCTCGCAGCCACCATCAAACAGATTACATCATTAGTTGTAAAATGTCGACAAGGTATACTTATTTGCAAAGGCGCTTTTGATATCTAGAGAATGAAATGCACGTGATTACGAGAACAGTTGCTGATTCAGTTTCTGTTTTCCATTCAGTTGTCGCTTATTCATGGAATGAATTCTATGAAGTTGTAAACTTTTGTTCTCTGAGATATATAAGATGTTTATCTGTCTATCTGTCTGTAATACTCATTGTTTCTGTGGTGTATCTTTGTCAGTATCTGAAACAATTCGTGTTTTAATGCGTAAGGAAAGCTTCGAACTGTGCGTGTAACTGTCATGCTTGCTTAAAAGCTGGTCAATCTGAAATACCAGTTTAGTTGTTTAATGGATAAAAACGCGAATCACAATCTATTGCCGTTATCGTTTGCCACCCCTGTTATACCTACATTTGGAATATGAGCAACATGTAGTTCACAATCTTCAATTTTTTAACTATCTACGCTTTAAAAATTTTCCTAGTAGACAGTCGGGCATATAGTTTCGGTTAATTCAAGTTTACCTTTGACACTATCGAAAGTCACGTAATTCCAGAACGGTTTTGTTCATTGTTTTTGATACTTGTAATTCCCCGTTGGTATACAGGGGTGAATCGCTTGACCTCTGTTGGCAGATGGGTTCCCATGCGGATTCCTCGATACTGGTTTACTGTATGCAACATGCTAGAGTACTTGGTGTGTTTGAATTTTGAGATATTAGATGACGACTTGATCTTATAACCAGTTATTTGTTTTCTTTTGTAAATTACCTCTAGGTTCACCGAATGTGCCTCATCGACTTCATGCAAATGTGTTAACAACTAGTCAAACAAATCTCCGTCCTGCACATTCTACTCCTGCATTTCAGGTTAGTTTTTAAAAAATATTCTTGCTTTGTTTTTTGTTTTTTACTGATACTGAGCGGTATAGTATGAGAGGGGCATTATTATTATTATTAGTCCCTTGGGTTCCTAGTGGAACATAGGGCTTCAGTAGCACGCCTCCAGTGACCTCTGTTCTCTGAGATCTTTTGAACCTGGTCCCACGACAGCCCAGAAGCTCTCATTTCCTGCTCGCACGACCTCCTCCATGTCACCCTCGGACGTCCAACTCGTCGCTTCCCATGGGGATTCCACTCGAGGGCCTGACGCGTGATGTCCTCCGTCGGCCTTCTCAGTGCATGGCCAATCCATCTCCACTTCCTCCTGCATATTTGTTGCGCGATAGGTTCTTGGTTGGTTCGTTCCCAGAGTTCCTTGTTGCTTATTTTTTCTGGCCATCTGATCTTCAGCAGCGAGCGTAAGCAGTTGTTGATGAATGTCTGTAGTTTATTGGAAATACCTTTCGTGACGCGCCAAGTCTCTGAGCCATACAAGAGCACTGACTTGACGTTGGTGTTGAAAATCCGTATCTTGTTCCGCATGCTGAGTGCAGAAGATCTCCACACTGGTTTCAGGCTAATGAACGCCTGTCTTGCTTTTCCGATTCTGACTTTGACGTCCTCGTCCGTCCCGCCTGTAGTTGAAACAGTGCTTCCTAGATAAGTGAAGGAGGTTACTTCCTTCAAGTTTCTCCCGTTGACGGTGATTGGAGTTTGTTGTTGTTGTTGATGGTGGTGGTGGTGCGGTATCTTCATCACTTCTGTCTTCTCTATATTCACCTGAAGTCCCGTCTTAGCTGCCTCTTCTATCAACTTGTTAGTTTTTGCCTGCAGATCTTCAAGTTTGTGTGACATTAGGCATAAGTCATCGGCGAAATCCAAGTCTTCTAGGTTCTTTTCCGTCGTCCAGTGTATCCCCCTCTTCTCGCTGCCTACTGTTTGCTGCATGATCCAGTCCACCACAATAAGGAATATCATGGGGGATAGTAGGCAACCTTGTTTCACTCCTGTCTTCACTTCAAAGGCATCACTGAGCTTCCCATTGTGGATTACTTGGCATGTGGCATCTTCATATAGTTGTTGAATGAGGCGGATAAAGGTTTGCGGTACTCCGTAGTATTGAAGCAGTTTCCAAATTACTTCTCGGTCGACGCTGTCAAAGGCCTTCTCAAAGTCGATGAAGTTGAGGTAGAGAGCTGATTGCCATTCTATGCTCTGTTCTATGATGATACGAAGCGTTGCAATTTGGTCAGCACATGATTTGTACTTCCTGAAGCCTGCCTGTTCCGGTCGTAGTTTTGAATCCAGTGCGTCTTTAAGCCTCTCCAGGATGATGCGGCTTAATATTTTACTTGGGGTGGACAGGAGAGTGATTCCGCGCCAGTTCTTGCAAGCACTGAGGTCTCCCTTCTTCGGCAGTTTGACAAGGTAACCCTTCTTCCAATCACAGCCAGGTACCTTCTCTTCCTTCCACACCTTCTGCAATAGTGGTGTGAGCATGTCCGCTGTTGTCTCTGCATCTGTTCTCAGTGCTTCTGGCGGTATCCCATCTGGTCCTGCTGCTTTACCGCATTTCAGTAGCTTTATGGCGTTCAGGACTTCCATTTTCGTTGGGGGATTAATGTTCACTTGTAATTCAGCGGCTGCAGGTGGTATTTCTGGACGAAGTGCAGGTGGTGGTCGATTCAAGAGCTTCTTGAAGTGGTCGGCCCATCGTTTCCTCTGTTTCTCTTCTTTTGTAATTAAATTTCCTTCTTCATCTTTTATTGGTTTCATCTGTGTTGGTCTCTTCCCTGATAGCAACCTGGTTATTTGATACAATGTCGTCAGGTCTCTCTTACCTGCAGCCTGTTCTGCTTCACTTGCCAGTGTTTCGTAGAAGTGTCTTTTGTCTTTGCGTGCACTCTTCTTCACTTCTTTGTCCAGTGTTTTATACATTGTGCTCAGTTCCTCTTGTCGTTGAGCATCCTTGCACTGGTTTATCTTCTGCTTCACCATCCTCCTCTCCTCTATCAGCTTCCAGGTATCCGTCGAGATCCATTCCTTGTCTTCTTTCTTCTTCCTTCCTAATACTGTTGTGCAGGTTTCTTTCCACATAGCTTTCAAAGACTTCCAGTGTTCTTCCACACAGGTTTCTTCAGGGATGTTGCTCGATGTCTCCCATTTTGTCTTGATGGCTGCCTTGAAGATCTCCTTTGTAGTTTCATCCTTCAGTTTCCGAGTGTTGTACTTGAATTGAGGTCTATCACCAGCTTCCTTGAAGGCTTTTAACTTGATTTGGAAGGTTCCTTGCACTAGATAGTGGTCTGAACCTACATCTGCTCCTCTTCTTGACCTTGTGTTAAGTAGACTGCGTCTCCATTTTCTTGAGATTGAGATAAAGTCGATTTGATTTTTAGTGTGTCCATCTGGTGAAATCCATGTCGCTTTGTGGATATCTTTGTGCCTGAACACACTGCCTCCAATCACCAAATCGTTGAATGCGCAGAATTCTGCAAACAATTCTCCATTCTCATTCATTTCACCTAGCGCTTCTCGACCCATGGTTAGTTCTCTTCCCGTGTTGTCCCCTCCCAGTTTGGCATTCATGTCACCCATTAGAATTTTGATATCGCCAACTGACGTCTTGTCCAGTGTTGATTGAAGTTGTCTGTAGAAATCCTCCTTTTTCTCTTGCTCTGCATTATTTGTAGGTGCATAACATTGTATGATTGTGACCTTTCTTCCTTTTGAGTTGAATCTTGCTGTCATGATCCTGGAGGAGATTGGTTCCCACTGCATGAGAGCCTTCGATGCTCTTGAGGACATCATGATAGCCACTCCCTCAGTGTGCTCGTGGTTGTCGTCTGGGTGACCGGAGTAGATTATTGATTCTCCAGTTGACAGTTTGGAGAGTCCACTCCCATTCCATCTGCTTTCGCAAATCCCAAGCACTTCGATGTTATACCTTCTCATCTCCTTTGCAATCTGGGCTGCCTTACTGGGTTCAAACATCGTGCGGACATTCCATGTCCCCACGTTTACTTTCGCTTTCATCGAGAGAGAGACACATCGGCCAATTGGCTTCCCGAAGGCTTTCACCAACTGGCGTCATTTCGCCTCTCCGATTCCAGCGGGGAATAAGTTTGTTTTCATTTTTTATATTTTGTTTGTGCTTTGAAGTTTCTTTAGCGGTTAGATTTGTTTTACGGGGTAGGGTTGCTAGCCCTATGCCCAACCTTCCCTCTTTACCCGGGCTTAGGACCGGCTAGTAACTAGTAAACTAGTTAACCAGGCGAGGTTATGAGAGGGGCATGCTGGGGAGTAACAATGATTGAGAAAAGAGATGTGTGGACTGTCAACCACTGATCCACTGTACCACGGATTAGCGAAATGGTTTTCGGGTGTCCTGATCATTTTCATCTACATCTTAGTTTTAGCCAATTAATCAGGAAATCAACTTTTGTCAACCTAGTTCCGTCATGTTCACCATCATTCACTACCGCTGCAGTCTATTCTGTCCTATTATACATCTATGAGATATGATCGTCAAAGGTAGAAAACATGTAGCGGTTACAGGGTTTATTTAGATCATAGGTGTTTTCGTAGCACTGCTCGTGTTTGGTGAAATCACCGTGTGAGCAGCGTTGAGATCAGGCGAAGGGTACTGTGCAAGACAGGTAAGTCGATTGATGAGGTTGGGAACATTCGTCTGTTGAGATGTCTTTTTTCTATTTGTATGTTCTTTGTATACTGCTGTGAAGTGTGGCGAGTTGAACAGATGTATTTGTGTGCGAGGTTCTACGTTGGTACTGTTTGCCTGTCTATCTGTCTCTTCACTGCATTTATTCTCTATTGTCTGGTGATATTAGATGTCTTAATTAGTTTGGGGCAGTATTTTGTGTCTACCCAACCCTCATTTCAATATTAAACAGCTCATTGGTATGCTTAAATGTAGAGATGAGTGCTGGCTTCCGATGCAGTAACTGTCAATCAGTTCCAGTGATGGACCGTGGACTACTGCGTGACGGTCCAAATTGCAACACTGACTATTTATTTGACGGTCGATTGAGAGGTGAAAATGTAATCAGTATGTTGTCTAAGCGTCCTGTGCCGAATTACTTTCGATCAGTTGACAGACTTCATAAGTAGCTCTGGTTTCTTGATCAAATTTTGTCATGTGAATGTTCATAACTGTTCAGTTCACCAAATATAAGACTAGTTCCTGTATCTTTAGTAAATTTCAGTGTGAGTATATGAATGACTAACTTCAGTTGAGTAACTAACCTAAATCTTGTGGGACTGGACTGCTATTTCATCCTAGTGTGGTACTCCTCAGCAGTGCGCACCTGTCGCCTTCAGGTTTCGTGAAAAGCACTTCGCATTCAGCCCCTGAGTCAGAATCCAATGGTCTACATATTTCTACTTTTGTCAGTTCCTGATATAGTGCGACTTTCACCCAATGGCATTGTTGAGTACTTGTCCTCGCATCCGACTTGATGTGACCCCAGCGGTCACGACTTCTCATTTTGAAGCAATTCAGTCGTGAGGTCTGTACAGGTTTATGGTCTATTTCATCGTATTTTCTTAGAATGAATTATGCCTTACGTGTTGATCATTTGATAAGGCCACCACCTTGACCAAACCCATCAACTGGAATACTTTGAGTCGGTGTTTCTCCTCGACCTTCATATTTACTGCTATAGAGGTGTCTTTCCACTTCAGCTTTGCTAGTTAATTGCTTACGGTAGCTAAGTTATTTATCTGATATGAATTGTGTTCGTAAAAATATTAGTTTTATGTAGTGGAAAAAGATTTTGCTTTTCCGATAGGTTTAAAGCGTTGTTATTACTTCTCTCTTTCTTCATATCTTTCAGAGTTCCGATTCGAATAGTGCTTCATCATGCACAAGTTCAACTCCGGGTTCACCGTTTGTTACAGGTGCCTCATTAGTCAGTTCAACGTTGGCTACATCATGTTGTACTCGTTTGGATGGTAGTAGTGCTATGGGTAGTGCTAGCCAAATGATTCCTCTCTCCTCACCTCCACCAAAAAATTTAGGCAATACCGGCATATTTAATCATTCAGTTGCAAGTCATTTGTCCTCACCGGTCAGCATGCATTCTTATGTTGCTGGTGGAGTTGTCAACAACACACAACAGCCCCACTCTCCTCGGCATTCCGGTCTATGTTTCAATCATTTTGAATTTCCAAGTGAGTATTATCGTATCTCTTTTTTATATTTAGTGTATCGTGTATTTATTTTAAGAATAGTTTTTAAATAGTTCTTCCATTCTGTTCTATACGGTGGGGGTTTTTCTCGTTAGTTTGCGTATTGCACAAATTGGTTGAGTTGTTCTTTGAGTGGAGCTGTGGTTCATTGGTTTAGGGAGATAACTTTAAATCAGTGGGTCCTGGGTTCGCGACCCGCTCCATCTACCGAGGTTTGGATATTCAGCTAGTTAATAGTATCACTAACCCTTACATAGTAGATGTGGCTCATTACACCTACTGCATGAATGTGCGTTTCGATTCGCTATGTTGACCAAAAGGGCGGTTGAGTATTGACATGTTTTACTGCCTGTCACAGTTCTACTACTTTCTGTTAAGCACCGAAAGTGTGCATCTTCCTCTTTATATCGATAGAGGTAGTAAACGAATTACGATGTAGTGCAATCGGTAATTTTTTTATTTACTTCTTTAATCGACCTTATTAGCAACGACGATAGAGTTGAGTACAATTTGAAGTGACGAATGTAAAAGGCATTTGTCGGTAGTTTAACAAACTTATAGTGGACACTTGATAGTAGACTTTCTAATGATAAACTCACTTCTTGTACACAGCTTATCCGCATAGGAGCCCATCTGCCAACTGAGGTTGAGCGATTTGACCCTGTATAGCAACAGAAAGTTACAAGTATTAAGCAACACCTGATATCCGTTACACAAGAGGTGACACATATGCCCCAATCACCTGATGGACAATCACTTCGACGTTTGAAGCGATGGGTACTGCGCTCAAGTCTCGGTGAGAGCTAGATCACTCAATGGGAGTGTCATCATCATTAATATCAACATAGAACCAGGTATCTATGCGTAACGGTCTGAGTTGCCACACCTCATATCAGTACATCAAGTAGAAAGGTAGTGAGGTGAAGGATAAAGATAAGAGAATGAAGTCAAAAGAAATATAAAGTACGAGAAGAAAGAAAAGAGGAGTGACAAAATGGTGAGATTCGGTATAGTGTCGTTAAGATGAGGATAATGTGTGTATACATCTGCGCCACTGACATCGGTTCTCAGCCATATCACCTAGAGTCTCTAACCACTGGTTCCTCTTATCCCACGGACCCCAACCACCCAGTGTGCATCGCCCCACATGGCTCAAACCAACAGTCAGAGACTTCATGCATTGGTGTCATGTTTTAGTCTGGCCACCTTGAGCCTTTTTCCGGCCTGGATCTACTTCGGCCAACATTGGGTGATGAGGCGATCGGTGACTAGGCATACGTAGTACGTGTCCCAACCATCTCAGTCGATGAAGGTTCACAACTGTGTCAACTGACTCACCTCTTCTCCCTAAAACTCTACACCTGAGCCTGACTTCTGCATTACTCACGTGGCGACACCACGGAATACGGCCTATACTACGAAGACAACGGTGGTCAAACACTTGAAGCCTTCTTATATCTTCCACTTTCAATGGCCATGTTTCACAGTCATACAGTAGAGCAGACCGTACTGCTGTGCAGTACATGCTACACTTAGTGGACAATCGGATATCACGGCTGCTCCATAAGTGGCGTAAATTGGCGAAAGCCAATCGAGCTTTTTGTATCTGTTCGGAGATTTCATCGGTTACTCACCCACTCGCGAAGAGACAACAGCTAGTTTCTCTATGTCTTTTAATTCTTACTGTGTCATTCAGTCGCATAGCGCAGAGGCGACTATCAACTGGGATCCAGTCTAATAGTGAGTTTCCTGCCCCAGTGCTAAGTCCTATGCCTACACCTGCAAGACCACGAGAGCTAGCTATCGAATCTGCAGAAACTCGAAGTGTGAATTTCGTGGACTCACCAGACTGACCGGGAGGGGTCAGATGAATAACCTCACTTGGGTCATGTATGCGTGTCTCACAAACACAGCACACATCCATGGTCCGAATTACTAGAGTCTTTGGCAATGAAGCCTGTTGACCAATTTGATGGAGGATGGTGACATTGAAGGCTCCAATATGTAATTTTGAGCGTGGTTTAAGGAGATCAGGGATGCTGTTCTGTGGATTCAGATCGTTGTCGAAGGCTGCAGAGCTAGGAGAAGTTGAAGATGATGTGGTATCGTTAATTGAGAGACGTGAAGGAAGGAAGATTAGAAGGTAATGATGGAGGAGGTGGATAGTAGTCTGAGGAAACTTGAGTGGTGGTCGAGTTGTGAGGGTGGTTGACACTCCCAGCTGCCCACACCGTGGAAGGCGATTTCTTCTTAAGGTATCTGAAAGAGATTTGTGTGACCACAGAGCCCATCGGACATCTGCTTGAGGCCTGTCACACGAAGCCTTTTGAGTATGATTATTTTGAACGTTTGTTGTTTTGGGGCTGGATGGTCGAAAGGAAACGACAAGTGAACCAACACCGTCGGCCCAGTAGACCGTGGGGTGTGATGGAGTGTGTTATTTTGGGGGTCGACCTTTTCTAACTCCCCGCGTCTTCCACTGAGAAGGCGGCATCAGCATGGGACTGCTGGTCATCCAAGGGAAACAGCTTACTGGTATCACACCGCATCCAGCTAGCAGCAGTACGACTTCACCCTCAGACCCCCATCATAGTGTAGCAATTTACACCACAACGATAACTTCTTTTTGTCTAACCACTATCCAACGAACCTTTGTGGTATGGTGGGACCTCGAGGGAACAAGTGTTCCACCAGCATAGGTGGTTGGGTCATTGTGATATGCAAGCCCGACTACCACGTCAAGGTAGAAGCTATTGGTAAGTGGGATGTAGGTACATCCAGCCGACTAGTCATAGATATTACAAGACGCACCTCTTGGATTCCACTGTAGCACTTATTCGCTGTCGAAAATTTGGGATTTACCAACTGTCTTCAGACGTGTACATTTCAGTATTGTGGTGGTATTTACTTCACTTGTCGACCATAGGAAACTAAAAGTAGGGTAATGTGGTAGTTTCCATATGGCAAACGACTCTAGTCCACACTCTGCTGCCATGTTTTTTCGTAGATTAATTCTAGTTCGCTAGTTAGCTTGAAACCAAATTACTGAGGCGTTTCGTTTTATTTGGGACTTGACAGCTTGACGCTCCTGCTTCCCAGTGAGTGATACTTTTCCTGCTGTGACTTGAACCCTGCACGAGTCGCTGAAATCGTCTGACTATTATCCACGATAGCCACTCCTTGTGCTACGGGTGTGGTTGTGATGGTGTTGCCGTAATTTCCCGCAGTTGACTGAACTGAATTGGTCGGTCTCATCATCACTTACCAGCTGACGAGTCCCAAGCAGTATTAAGCATGTGTCATGAATTCCACTGCTAGCTACTGTCTATCGATATTATCAAATATCGTCTTTCAAGTTTTACATATCTGTGGTGTTTCCATCAGTTTTTAAAAATAAGAATGACTTCTATTTGAAGTAAGTACTGACGAAGTTTTTTAACCTGGTTATCGAGTGTCCAGGAACAAACCTCGAACCTTGAAGAACTCCAAACAATTATCACCCTATAGTATCTCAAGAGTGCTGTTTCTCATAGTTATGCCTTCGTTCTAGTATTAAATGCCTCTACTGTTCTTCTAAACTGAAGCCTGTGCAAATCACGTGCTCATTCTTGTAAAAATGAAGAAACATGTTCATGGGAAATGTTGTTAAACACCTGCCAGTTGCGTGATTGGAATTTCCTTGATCTCTTTCAATGCCACGATGTTCGAATGCTGTAGTGGTAATCAGTTCCCTACACACCCACATATCTCGAGTGACAATTTAAGAATGTTCGGGATGCGGTTCTCACCACACAAACGTGAGTTGTTTCTCCGCGACTTGGTAACAATAGAAAGGGAAGTTGTTTAGTACATTGAACACTTCACTTACCTGGGAAGTCGGATCATCGGTGGTTGATCAGTGACCGAAAAAGTTTCTGCACAGCTGCCAAAATCTCATCTGGGCTTCGCCAACCTACACCGTCTGTGGCACCACTGATATCTGATTGTCTATTAAGGATTGAGTGCACTGTGCTTTAGTTCTCTCTGTTCTACTATATGCCTCTGGAAAATGACCATTAAATTAAGAGAATATGAGAAAGCTCTAGGTTTTGACTACCGTTATCTGCGTAGCATAGGCGGTGCGTCGCGGTATCACCACGTCAGTAGCGCAAAAGTTGATGAGGTTGTGAACCTTTATCGCCTCAGATGGCTGGGACATGCGCTACGCATGCCTAGTTACCTCTTGCCTCACCACACAATATCCAATGGAGTGGAATAAGGCTAGAAAAGAGTAAGAGGTAGCCAGATTTATATATGGTATCACTGCATGAAGTCTTTGACTGTTGGTCTGAGCGGTGCAGAGAAATTCAGACTTCCGGATGGGGCTCGCATAACCTCAGAAATGAGTGGCTGGAAACTTTGGGTGACGTGGCTCAGAATGGATGTCATTAGCGTAGATGTACCCACACATTAGCTTCGTTTTAATCGTCAGACTGAATTCAGCATTTTCTCGTCCCTCCATCCTTTCTTTAACTTCATTCTGCTGCTTTTTATTGATTCTCTATTTCTTCATCTTTCACATTAGTGCTTTTTCGCTTGATGTGCTGATATGAGGTGGTACAATTTGGATCGTTATACAGTAACGGTTGATACTATGTCGATGCTGATGATGATGAGGGATCTATTTATTTAATCTTATTTTGAGAGATACCCCTATTAACCTTGTTGAAAATAATGGTAATAATAAAAATGACTGGTTTATATTTTTGTTCATCTTTTCTTGTGTTAAGGTATCAATCACCCTGTAATAGATAGTCATCTGACATCGAGTAATCAATTGTCCAATGGGACTTCTGATGCAAATGCTTTAATTAGGTGAGTGTTCGTTTCAAGTTTCATCCTATCACATTTTTCGGACTTTCTTTTCGGTTGTTATCGTCCTAATGTTTCACTGCAATAGTGGGATAAATGCCTTTTATTTTGTCATATTCTGAATAAAATTTTCTTTTATGTGAAGCATCTTCAAGGTAGTCAGATATGGTAAACAAAAATCTGGGGGCTCTTCTGCTATTGATTCACTTGAGATATAGTATTGCTGAAATTCGAGTGCTGGAATTTAGGGTTTTTCAAGTCAACTTGTTTCTCATCAGCAATAACTTCAAGCATAAAGAGAGACACTGTATCACTTGACGTCTGCCGACATTAAACCAATGATAGACGCATCATATTACTAATGATGGATAATGGCCAGGAGTGGAATCCAGGAAGCGCGTTTCGTCCCATTTTGGACTTGTCAGTCGGATGTACCTACATTACAGTGAGCGACGTTATTCCCGCTAAGGCTCGAGTATAAGAAATGGCCATCGTAATTCGTTGGCATTGTAGATAATGCTCTGGAGTTTGAAGCGATCGTTTGCGGGTTTGAGTCTTAGTGGGAACAACATCGTTCATTGGTAGGTTGGTACATCTAGCGGACAAGTCTCAAGTCCCAAATAGGACGAAACGCGCTTTTTGGATTTCACTGCTCTCCACCGTCCATCACTAATCCAAGTTTGAAATGATAGGCAATATCGAGGCATCCACACAGAATCCTATATACCAATAGAGACCGGTCAGTTCGGTCCAATCAGTGACAGAATAATGGAAGCAGCAATATAACATCATATTGCTGCCGAGTGGTGCGATTGACTCGACTGTAAGTCCCAAATCTGGGCTTTATGCTTGCTGGTACTCATCAACAACGTGTATTCGAAACCACGAGTAGGCTGGTATTCCCTTGATGACTTGAGCTTGCATCACTCAATGCTTTATTCAGGACCTTAACCACTAAGCTATTCGATATACGACTGACCCTCAAGTAGGGTTGAATTATGTATTCCAGTCGGTCACCAATGGGTACCCGATGTAGCTGTCTGGTTCTTCGTGCCTAACACTGATAGTGGTCTTTTAATCAAGTTTTATCACTAATCGAAGTGACGCGACACTGCGGTGTACTGTAATTTAGTGCTAAGTTATGGTAGTCAGTCACGGGGGGGGGGGCATCCTGTTAATGAACCAACAACAGTAATCATCTCTTAAAATTTTCGGCCAAAAATCATTTGTTTCTGGTCTGCACTAACTTCAAGTATGAGTAGAGGCATTGTTTCTCTTGACACCCGCCAACATTAAGCCAACGTTATACACATAGATTATCATTAAAGAGAATCGGTGTAGGATTGTTGCTCTTTCTGGAGCACCTGCTTGTATTCTGATCACGCATTACTACGGATAAATGTTTGCTTACGCTTTACTAATTGTAGGAAACAAACTGCACCAAAACCTATGTGTGCCTGACCATAAGGTTGTTAAAGAAGAGATAGCTAAGCATCCGTCTGAACATGACGGCAGTTCTTATCCTGATAAAACGGCGTAATATTCATTTTGCTGTAGTGATAGCTGTAAAAATATTGATAATCTAGATCCATATGTTAGCTAAAGCCTGCAGATCTTCACCACCTCATACGAACCGATTTGTACAAGAAGACTCATACCGGCTGGCTAGTCCACAGTTAAGAGCGAAAGAAGCTTGAAAGTGAATTGACTGAGTTTTCGCAATAATCACGAGCAATAGTGGGTAGCGAAAGCGAGAGATACGGAGAAAGCATCATCATTAGATAATAGCTGGTAATGATTTAAGTTTATTTAGGATACTGGTAAGAATACGAAATTTAGTGAAACCATTACTGACCTCGCCTGGTTAACTAGTTTACTAGTTACTAGCCGGTCCTAAGCCCGGGTAAAGAGGGAAGGTTGGGCATAGGGCTAGCAACCCTACCCCGTAAAACAAATCTAACCGCTAAAGAAACTTCAAAGCACAAACAAAATATAAAAAATGAAAACAAACTTATTCCCCGCTGGAATCGGAGAGGCGAAATGACGCCAGTTGGTGAAAGCCTTCGGGAAGCCAATTGGCCGATGTGTCTTCACCTCTCTCGATGAAAGCGAAAGTAAACGTGGGGACATGGAATGTCCGCACGATGTTTGAACCCAGTAAGGCAGCCCAGATTGCAAAGGAGATGAGAAGGTATAACATCGAAGTGCTTGGGATTTGCGAAAGCAGATGGAATGGGAGTGGACTCTCCAAACTGTCAACTGGAGAATCAATAATCTACTCCGATATTGTCACCCAGACGACAACCACGAGCACACTGAGTTATGGAGTGGCTATCATGATGTCCTCAAGAGCATCGAAGGCTCTCATGCAGTGGGAACCAATCTCCTCCAGGATCATGACAGCAAGATTCAACTCAAAAGGAAGAAAGGTCACAATCATACAATGCAACGCTATGCACCTACAAATAATGCAGAGAAAGAGAAAGAGGAGGAATTTAACAGACAACTTCAATCAACACTGGACAAGACCACAGTTGGCGATATCAAAATTCTAATGGGTGGGGTGACATGAATGCCAAACTGGGAGGGGACAACACAGGAAGAGAACTAACCATGGGTCGAGAAGCGCTCGGTGAGGTGATGAACATGAATGGAGAATTGTTTGCAGAATTCTGTGCATTCAACGATTTGGTGATTGGAGTGGGGCAGTGTGTTCAGGCACAAGGATATCCACAAAGCGACATGGATTTCACCAGATGGACACACTAAAAATCAAATCGACTTTATCTCAATCTCAAGAAAATGGAGACGCAGTCTACTTAACACAAGGTCAAGAAGAGGAGCAGATGTAGGTGCAGACACACTATCTAGTGCAAGGAACCTTCGAAATCAAGTTGAAAGCCTTCAAGGAAGCTGGTGATAGATCACAGTTCAAGTACAACACTCGGAACGAAAGTGAAGGACGAAACTACAAAGGAAATCTTCACGGCAGCCAGCCATCAAGACAAAATGAGAGATATCGAGGAACATCCCTGAAGAAACCTGTGTGGAAGAACACTGGAAGTCTTTGAAAGCTATGTGGAAAGAAACCTGTACAGCCGTATTAGGAAGGAAGAAGGTGGAAGACAAGGAATGGATCTCGACGGATACCTGGAAGCTGATAGAAGGGAGAGGAGGATGGTGAAGCAGAAGATGAACCAGTGCAAGGATGCTCAACGACAAGAGGAACTGAGCACAATGTATAAAGCACTGGACAAAGAAGTGAAGAAGAGTGCACGCAAAGACAAAAGACACTTCTACGAAACACTGGCAAGTGAAGCAGAACAGGCTGCAGGTAGGAGAGACCTGACAACATTGTATCAAATAACCAGGTTGCTATCAGGGAAGAGACCAACACAGATGAAACCAATAAAAGATGAAGAAGGAAATTTAATTACAAAAGAAGAGAAACAGAGGAAACGATGGGCCGACCACTTCAAGAAGCTCTTGAATCGACCACCACCTGCACTTCGTCCAGAAATACCACCTGCAGCCGCTGAATTACAAGTGAACATTAATCCCCCAACGAAAATGGAAGTCCTGAACGCCATAAAGCTACTGAAATGCGGGAAAGCAGCAGGACCAGATGGAATACCGCCAGAAGCACTGAGAACAGATGCAGAGACAACAGCGGACATGCTCACACCACTATTGCAGAAGGTGTGGAAGGAAGAGAAGGTATCTGGCTAGTGATTGGAAGAAGGGTTACCTTGTCAAACTGCCGAAGAAGGGAGACCTAAGTGATTGCAAGAACTGGCGCGGAATCACTCTCCTGTCCACCCCAAGTAAAATATTAAGCCGCATCATCCTGGAGAGGCTTAAAGACGCACTGGATTCAAAACTACGACCGGAACAGGCAGGCTTCAGGAAGTACAAATCATGTGCTGACCAAATTGCAACGCTTCGTATCATCATAGAACAGAGCATTGAATGGCAATCAGCTCTCTACCTCAACTTCATCGACTTTGAGAAGGCCTTTGACAGCGTCGACCGAGAAGTAATTTGGAAACTGCTTCAATACTACGGAGTACCGCAAACCTTTATCCGCCTCATTCAACAACTATATGAAGATGCCACATGCCAAGTAATCCACAATGGGAAGCTCAGTGATGCCTTTGAAGTGAAGACAGGAGTGAAACAAGGTTGCCTACTATCCCCCATGATATTCCTTATTGTGGTGGACTGGATCATGCAGCAAACAGTAGGCAGCGAGAAGAGGGGGATACACTGGACGGCGGAAAAGAACCTAGAAGACTTGGATTTCGCCGATGACTTATGCCTAATGTCACATAAACTTGAAGATCTGCAGGCAAAAACTAACAAGTTGATAGAAGAGGCAGCTAAGACGGGACTTCAGGTGAATATAGAGAAGACAGAAGTGATGAAGATACCGCACCACCACCACCATCAACAACAACAACAAACTCCAATCACCGTCAACGGGAGAAACTTAAAGGAAGTAACCTCCTTCACTTATCTAGGAAGCACTGTTTCAACTACAGGCGGGACGGACGAGGACGTCAAAGTCAGAATCGGAAAAGCAAGACAGGCGTTCATTAGCCTGAAACCAGTGTGGAGATCTCCTGCACTCAGCATGCGGAACAAGATACGGATTTTCAACACCAACGTCAAGTCAGTGCTCTTGTATGGCTCAGAGACTTGGCGCGTCACGAAAGGTATTTCCAATAAACTACAGACATTCATCAACAACTGCTTACGCTCGCTGCTGAAGATCAGATGGCCAGAAAAAATAAGCAACAAGGAACTCTGGGAACGAACCAACCAAGAAGCTATCGCTGAACAAATATGCAGGAAGAAGTGGAGATGGATTGGCCATGCACTGAGAAGGCCGACTGAGGACATCACGCGTCAGTCCAGTTGCTCGAGTGGAATCCCCATGGGAAGCGACGAGTTGGACGTCCGAGGGTGACATGGAGGAGGTCGTGCGAGGAGGAAATGAGAGCTTCTGGGCTGTCGTGGGACCAGGTTCAAAAGATCTCAGAGAACAGAGGTCACTGGAGGCGTGCTACTGAAGCCCTATGTTCTACTAGGAACCCAAGGGACTAATAATAATAATAATAATAATAATTACTGACAAAGATGGGAACGCTGATAAAGTATCACTACAGACGGTTAGAAAGTTGAAGCACAGTTAAACTGACCCACAGCCAAGCTTTATTCGCCCAGCATCGAGCCCGAACGTGAATGGAGCGTCAATGCCCGTCCCTCAAGTCTCCTCGAACTTGAGAACACAATTTCAAACCTGAAAGAGTTCATAGCTGCATTACCTCACGGTTTTTGACCTGAAGTTTTCAAGGATGGAGGTTGCAAATCGCTAATTAAAGTGAAGGAGATACTAAGTAGCGTGTGGGAATCAGAGCAAATACTATGAGGTTGGTCTAGGTTGTTGATCATTCCAGTGTTTAAGAAAGTAGAGAAAGGTTGCTTTGACATTCGTAGGAGAAACAGACTAATTAACATCGTGTCCAAGAGCCTGGGGTCCATAGTTATACGACGGCTAGCCAGAGCATAAGATAGTCAGTCAGGTTTAAGATCTGGACGTTGCTACGTTGACCAGATTTTCACCATGAAACTCAGACCTACTTGCTAGTGTCTGATACTTTCTATATCTCTTGATTTGAAGGTGGCATTTGTCTCTGCCGGCTGTGAGGTGTTGTGGTCGTTTCTGACCGTGAAGGATGTACCGAGCAAGTATGTAATGCTGACCGAAGCTCTCTACTCGAACTCAGCTCACTGTTTAAGAGTCTATGGGGAGTTATCATTATGAAGTGATGACAGCCAGTAATTTCCGGCAGGGGTACCCACTGTCACCGTTTCCGTTTGACTTCATCATAGATGTACTAATGGACGTAAGTAATCCTAGGTACCTGTGATTTTACGGAGGTTGACTTGTAACCTGAAGACTACCTGGTTGGTGTGAAGAACACAGGCGACGTTGACCTGTGAGATCGAAATGCTGACACAATCCAGTCTTCCGAACGTGTTGAGCGAAAACCTGAGTACGTTTGGTATACTGTTTGCAGTGGTGGATTACAGTGACCACTTACTAGGGAAATTATGTTAGCCGAAATGAGTTGGTTGTTGGCGAAATGTCACCTCATATATAGAAGACCCGTTTGCTACTGGCCGACTTATACCATCTGTGATTCCGGCGACAAATGCGGCTGTCAAAAGACTAGTATACTGTGCCACGGTATGTTCCCATCACTTCTAAAAGATAGGATTTCCCAAATCTTCGTTTTAGTGTGTATCTATAAAATCAACTGCTCCTTCTTATAATAAAGTATGAGAATCATTTTACAATGTGAAAAAATATCTAACGATGTAGTTAGCAAAAGATAAAGACGATTACGGGTTCCATCCAGTCACGAATGATTGACGCTCGTCGTACTGCTGAGGAGTACCTTACTGGAACAAAACAACTATTCAATGCTCCCAGGTATTTCAATGGTTCTCCAACCAGTGTCAGTATGTGATGAATTCAACCTTCATTTTTCGAAATCCTGTGAAACTATTGAATAATTGTGATCCCGAAATTATCCAAATATACAAAAAACTCTTTAAAATATCTCAGATTCACGTAACCATTCGATGCGTTTGTGTTTCTAAAGATGTGAAATATATGGCCTGATGAGAGACTTTACCGAAAATACATTTATTCGCTCAAGTACTCATCTTTCCAATATTCACGTGCCTTTATTTAACATTCCTTTTAGTAAAAACTAGTTTTGCAGCACAATGCACTTTTCGCACTTTTTTCTTATTTTTCAATAATTGCGGTTTGTTCATCTTGTGATTCAATACCAACGTTCAATAAGCATCGTCCGCACAGAATTTTTGGAATGCTATAGAAACGCAAAGTTTGAGCACTATTGATATTTTTCAGTTTCATACAGCGAATGATGTAAACTTACAGTTTATCGTTTTACAAGTCTCTTCATTCATATTGTACATTAAATTTGAGAACTGTGTACATAATCTGTGTCGTTGCATTTTCTCCCCTTTGAATGCCAGCACTGTATCTTCTGGAGAAAGTGAACGAACTGTCGTGGATGTAAGTTTCATCTTGAACTAACCTTATCTGATAATGATATATATATATATATATATATATATATATATATATATATATATATATATATAAACATACTTAGGACAACTATGCGCATCGTTGCCTATGAATGTTCAAATCTTTTTCCGAAACGACTGGATTTTAGCATTCGTCGATTAAGAACTAGTATTCAGTCACAAAACACCGGTAGGAGGTGCCAATCTTGATCACGGATTACTGCATAATGGCCTAACTTTCAAATAAATAGTAAAAATGCGCACCGTCACACATATTTTCTTACTAATTCCGTGTTGTGTTTTGTGGGGTACATATTAGTCATTATTATTATTATTTGTCCCTTGGGTTCCTAATAAAACAAAGGGCTTCAGTAGCACGTCTCCATTGTACTCTGTTCTCTGCAGTCTTTTGAACCTGGCTCCACCACTGCCCACAAGCTTTCATTTCTTCCTCACATGACCTCCTCTATATCACCCCCGCCTCGGACGCCAAACTCGTTGTTTCCCCTATGGATTCCACTCCAGGGCCTGATCTGGCGCGTGATGTCTCCGATTAAACAATCCAGCTCAGAGAACACAATACAACCAAGATGTCTCCAAATGGTTTTCTCAGCGTATGTCCAGTTCAATCCATCTCCACTTTCTTCACATATTTGTTGGGCGATGGGTTCTTGGTTGATTCGTTGCCAGCCAACCAGAGTTCCTTGTTGCTTATTCTTATTATTCTGGACAT